ATGACTGAAATTAACCACAATTTATTTTCTAAGCCTTTTTGTAAATGTTTCAATCCTTAGAATAGATGCCAGAGTTTAAAAGAAAGTTTCATAAGACAGATTATGTCAGTGCAATTGTTATCTAGGCAGGGAGACAGATTCCTGGTGCTTTTCAATCCACCATCTTCCCAGAATCCTTTCCCTCAATTCCTTGCTTCTAAAAATTCCTCAAGGAATTTAATGATTTGATACAAGTGTCACCTAAATAAAGCAAACAAAGTGAAAACCTAGATTATCAGAAAATAATATTGGGGTATCAAATTCCCTTAAAATTCAGAATATGATTCATTTCCTAATATGAGTGCCCCTCAGGCATTTAAATATATGATTCAGTTTGTTAAAATTTGATTTACACAGTATGTGCCAGGAACATGTTTATTAGATAAACTGAGATACACCCAAGCTTGCAAGCATGTCTCTCAAAGGAAATCAGTTAATATACTTAGAATAAAAATAGAAAAGAGCAAGAGCAATGCTTAGCATGAAATCTCACAGATTATTTTACAGAAACACAGGTATTACACTGAAGAATGCAAAATCACAGGAATGTTCTATAGCAATGACACACTAAGGAAACCATCAGTTCTCTAACACCGACCACAGGTGGGTTTCAAAGGGAGGGGATTAAAAACAAAACAAAATAAAACCACCTCTTTGAATGTACTTAATTGGGCACTTCAAAACCCAAGCAGAAGGTGTTCTATCAGTTCTAATTTTATGCAGTTACTAAGTTTGAAAGTTGAATATTATTTTGCTCTAGGCAGTTCAACTAGCTGTGTGGATTTTGTTTGTATAAATGCCTCATTATGCATAAAAGTGGCAGAAACACCCTCTACTTACCTTGCATTTCTATAAAAGAACTAATTATCAATTGCATCTACTTCAATGCTCCTCACCCTCTGGTATGGAAATCTCATTGATTTTGCAAGTGTTTACAAGGGGATCATAAAATCCAGAAATTATTGATTCCACAGCTAGGGTATGAGTTGGAGCCAGGCAACTGGGATTAACTACAGTGTGGGAGGGAGGAAACCCTGGGGTTATCTGCAGTGGAACCCAGGTCTTTCTGTTCGTGGGCAGGTTCCAGAGTAAAAGGCTCTGCACAAAGTGGGTGGTGGGAAGAAATAGGAAAGAATTGCCTGACTATAAATGACAACACGCACTGAGGTTGAAGGAAAGAAAAATGATGTGACAAGGGGAAGGAGAATCTGCATCACAGACTGTGCCCCAGGAAGAGGGAGGAGCATATTTGGATCTGACGTATTTGAGGACATGTGAGTGTTTCTCCTTCCTGCTTGCCAGATGAAGAAATACACAGACAGACTGAATGACTGGCCTGCGGTCATGCAAGCTATTAAGACCGCAGTAACTGAACCTAGTTCTCCTTAGCTATACGACGGCCCTTTCAAGAGGCAGTGTTTGCTTCATTTACTTTGCTTCAGTTAGCTGGTTTCCTGCCAACACAACACAGCTGAGGAGATGAGCATCAAGGTGCTACCACAGTGACAGCCCAGGGGCTGCTAGAGGAAGGTGAAGGTGTGCAAAGTGAATGTTTTATATCCACCCCCTCTTACCATGGTATTTTGGCTCTGCAAGGGGCTCTGTGGTAAAGACAGCAATGTGACCACTGGGAGTCTCAGACAAGAACAAAGCAAACTGAGCTATGCTCTCCTGTCTGGCATGAGGCTTGTTCAGATAATGCAGGCCAAGGCAGTTAGTGCCGTGCCTCATGCGGAGGGGATGTGGAGTGACCGTTGGCTGCTGTCACCATCATTGTCATTGGCACTTTGAACTCCAGTTTTGTAATTACAAATATTTGTGCTTTTATTCATTTACATTCACTATTCTATATTTGGTGCTTGGCACAGTGGTTGGCACATATAAAATATTCTGTAAAAATAATGGAATAGATGAATGAATGAATGGATTTTTTTCTATGGCATGTGTGTCAGAAGAGGTGGGATAACCCCACCTGGACCAGGCATCAGGAAGCGAACTCTTCCCAGACTGGCGTCATGCATCTGTACAAGGCGAGACAGTGGCCTAGCAGCCTTCGGGAGACAGCACTGTGTTTTCCTCTGCCCTTTCTCAGTCAGAATCTGTGAAGACGAACTGCCTCTTTTTCCCACTAAATTTCTATCCATAAACGTACCTTTGCACAACTTCTACCAGCATATACTCTCTCCATACTAGCAATCTCAGTGGTCAAGCTCTATCTTGTGATTTGCTTGCCATCTCCATTAAACTGATATTTATCATTCATTTCTCTCTAATCAATCAGTTTATATACTTGACTTTGCATATCAAGTTCCCAATCTCCTTCTCAATTTCACTGTGGAGGAGGCAAATTCTTCATGAACAGGCTCTATAGAAAGAGTGATCACAGAAAGAGTAACCATGTAAATTCTTAACAAAGTGAAGAAGTTTTTTAAAAAGTGGAAATCCCTGCTTGTTTACTCCCAAAATTCAGTCAATTGGCAGGTTTTCCATTTCTTTTACAAAAGTTTCATTTGTCCCATGAGCATACAATCTGAGCCTTCAAAGCATTGAGAGGAGGAGGTGCTTAGGAAGCTGATTTTACTCTTTCCCATGATAGACAGAACTAAGACATTGTTAAGAGATGACAAGATAGAAATATTTCAAAAGGAAGGAAGGAAGGAAACCACAAACTACTACTACAATTTTGTCTAGCATTCTTTTAGACTGGTGACTACCTGTTCCTAGAATTGCAGGGAGGTTTTTCAAATTGAGATGTGACAACAGCTGTGACTTTTGCTGCACAGAGAACAAGGAAGAATTTACTCTCATAGACAAAGTATGAAAGTGATGCCCGGACCTCACTGCCGTGGCACAGTAGGGGCAGTTGGCAATCGTGGGCTGGGAATACAGTTGCAAACGAACAAGTAATCAAATTGGCAAATGATTGCATTTTGGGGTGCAAGGGTAAAAAATTATTGAAAGATTGCTCCACTGGATTTGTTAAAAAAGTTATCTGGTAGAGAAACCTTACTTTCAATCATAAACTTTCTTTGCCAGTATCAAACATGACACTGAATTCAGCGAGCTGGGCTATACCCTATCCAATGAAATGATAAGAGGCAAAAGAGCAGAAAACAGTGAAGATGTCAGCATGCCTACTGGAGGGCTGACACAGTCTTTTGCCAAGGTGATACTTCGCTTTCCTGCGAAAACAGTGACCTAAAGTTTTATCCTGAAGAAACTAGAGACCAACATTTCCTGTATTTGTATGGACAGTGTTGTTAGTCCATTCTCGCATTGTTCTATGTTGGTGCAAAAGTAATTGCAGTTTTTGCCATTACTTTTAATGTAAAGAAAAGAGGTGCAGCCAGGCATGGTGGTTCATGCCTGTAATCCCAGCACTTTGGGAGGTTGAAGTGAGTGGATCACTTGAGGCCAGGAGTTCAAGAGCAACATGGCGAAACCCTGTGCCTACTAAAAATACAAAAAACTTAGATGGGCATGGTGGCACATGCCTGTGATCCCAGCTACTCAGGGTCTGAGTCCTGATACTGCTTGAACCTGGGAGGCAGAGGCTGCAGTGAGCCAAGATTGCACAACTGTACTCCAGCCTGGATGACAGAGCACTGTCTCAAAAAAAAAAAAAAAAAAAATGGAAAGAGAAGAGGTTTAATTGGCTCATGTTTCCACAGGTTGCACTGGAAGCATGGCTGGGGAGGCCTCAGGAAATTTACAACATGGTTGGAATGGGAGGAAGAGGGTAAAGGTGAGGGGCTACACACTTTTAAACAACCGGAACTCATGAGAGCTCATTCACCAATGAGAGCTCACTCATCATCATGAGAACAGCAAGAGGAATTCCACCCCCATGATCTAATCGCCTCCCAACAGGCCCCTCCTCCAACATGGGGGATTACATTTGACATGAGATTTGGATAGGGACACAAAGCCAAACCATACCAGACGGCTTCAGCCTCAAACAGCATCCCTTATGCCAAACCTAAAACTTAGATAGCAGAGGACTCTTAACAGTTATTAATTTTTACACATTCTGAGAAAAGCAGGATTCCTATACATCTAGGCTATAAAATAACTTGCAATGCAAACTTGTATAAGAAGAAACAACTAAATTTCAAACAACATGTTCGGGTTTTGGAGAAATTTATAGAGCAAGAGAAACAGAAACAAAGCACTGCAAATATTATCTAGAAATGCCAGCATTAGGATGTAATCAGGATTGAGTCTTTGTACACTTGGAATCCAACGAAGAAAATGTCTGCCTTGTACCTGATTTTAATGTATTGATCAAAATCAGTACATCGAAGAACAGGATGCATGAGAAGAATATTCACCAAGAAACCCACGGAAGTCCATGAAGTAGAGAGGCATGGACAGAGGGAGAACACGTGAGTGGGAACTACTCAAGGTCCAGACAGTCAAAGGAAGCCCCCAATGGAAATGCTGTAGGAAAGTAGATTTTGGTTAAATATTGAAATTGTATCAGTTAAGCTGTTCAAAAACGGATCAGTCCTAGTGGGATGCAGCGTGCACCATGTGACTCAGGAGATACAGGCAGGAGTCTGTGCCCACTTGATGAGGGATGATATTCAACCGGGATCTACCACAAATGAAATAAGCCCTTCTAACTCTGAACAATTCCAGGAGCTTTTTGTTTGCCATGTTCATGACACACTAAGTGTTTTCCTTCATTTGCATTTTGTGGCCTTTATTTTCAATGCATCTGTGCCTTATATTTATAGTTCAGATATTCTACTTGATATTCTTTCTGTATATCTTCAATCTTCAACATCTTTCCATTTCTCATCATATTTCTCTTTGATTTAAAAAAAATGAAAGAACCTTTATGATTTTAGGTTTTAATCTCTCTACGTACTTAAAATGCTCCATGCTTTTCGTCATATTTATTGACATTTTTCCTTTATCTATTTCTCTTTCTCTGTTTCTCTTTCTCATTCTCTCAGATAAATATTCAAGCTGACGATTCAAGTCCTGTTGATGATAAGGACTTCTATGCAGAAATGGTCAGCAGATTATCTTTTCACACAAAGGACAAACTATTGAGCATGAAGAACTCCATGCTTCAGGACAGCTACAGTGAAGCTATCCACATCATCATGTGCAAGTGGTACTTTGCACTGGATTTATTAACTCAGCAAAAGTCTATGCATCTTCTATTAACTAGCTATAAATGAGCTTTAATAAACATATGCAATAAAAATCTTGATTATTGCATATGTTATACATTTATTAAGCTCTTTTATAAACTACAAACGTAAAATTTCATACTATTGTATAAATGCTGAATTTGGGTTTAGTTTTCATCCAAGAATAATGCCCCTCATATATTTTAAAAAATAGATCATAGTAAATAGCATTGAACACTACTTCTTTTTATTTAGTGACACAAATAAAAATAACTTTGAAAGAAGCTGAAAGTTTAAGAATGTTATTAGTTTATCATTGCTAGTTTAAACACTGGAAGATTAAATCAATACATCTGAATGATTTGTCTATAACAATGTAATTAAATACTCCATTAGTTGCAGTTGAAGCGCTCAGTATTTATGGATGGAGAAAACTATAACGTTATCACTTTTATTTCTCTTTCCATATGAATGATCCTATAAGTGCCCTTTGACTAACTGATTGACAGTGTAAAAATCACTTTATCTCTCTGCATTCATTTTCTCATCTGTTAAATTAGATGAAGGATACTTTCTTCCTCCTGGGTTTGTAAGGGTTAAATGAGATAATTCATGAAAACAGCTTAACTCAGAATCTGGTCTATCAAAAGCACTAAATAACCGACAGCGATTTTTAAGACAGTTAACACAAAAAAACTTGGAACAAATTAATGAGTCAGTAATCTCATTGAAAATTTAAAAAATTATAAATCTCTACCCCAGCAATATGACTTGAAGATTAACTCTCTGAGATTTACATTTTTGAAAAACATAGTTTAGGCAAGAGGCAATTAATTCTAAGAATGCAACAATGTTGAAGGGAGGAGATTTCTAACTTTCCATCACTGATTTGACCAAAGTCATAGGATCATGTCCCAGTGTTGGATATTAACCCATAGCTTTGATAACAGAATTCTAAAAACACATTTCTCTTCTTGGTCTAGAACACCTCAAACAGCATACTTTCTTTAGAATGTACCATTTTTTCAATGACCCAATGTTGAGCCATTTTACTGAACATAGCTTATTGTAGATTAGTTAACTCTATCGCTAGCCACTCTTTAAACTTTCCAAACTTTAAGCATTTTTTTAAAATTTGTGCTTGAGTATTGCTTTGAGCCAAGCAAATTAAACCTTTGCAGCTTCAAAAGGAACAGCTAAGTGTTGATAATATTAACTGCATAATTTCAGAGTCAATTTTATGTTGTACTTGCCAAAGATTTTCAACCAAGAAATTAAACAGTAATTAGAATTTATCTTCCAATTGCAATCTAAAAGTGATCATTCTTTAAATGTGCTAGATTGTATCTCACAGGTTTTTATTACGGAAATTCTCACATTACAAAACTATCATTTTAATAGGTGTACTTGGTACATTATGCATTGGGCACAGAAATTATTTATTTAGAGAGAACTGCATTAATACTAAAATCATTTATATGCTAAGTAATTATTACTCAAAAGATTTTATTTGCAATGAATTATTTTTTTAATATGGGAAACCAAGAGAAATGTATAGTGTAATAAATTTCTAGTTAAAGTACATAGAAATTTCTAAGAAAAAGTAGGCTGATTTTCAGAAATAGGGTCATAGAAGTGCTTCTCCATAATGTACTAGTAAATGTAGATTAATGCCTTATTTTGAATCACTTCAAAAATAGTATAAGAGTACTTGTTCAATGAGGTATTATTAAGACTAGGAGAACACTCTTCTGTGTATAATATACAGCTATGTTTAACTTGAAATATCAGTTTGGCAAGGTAAATGAAGAATACATGGCAAAAGCAATTTTTAATCTACTCACCTATTATATTTGGGAGAATTGTTGGGAGAACTAAGTGATTCGTTAGAAAAAGACACTGTGAACAATTGCACCTAAAACAACTGGTCTTTGTTGCCAAAGAACTGTGTTGTAAATTAAATGGCCTAAAATAGTAAGGTATAAGCTTGCTCCATATCTTACTAAAATTTGTACAAATGAATCATATGTGAGCTACTATTTTTACCCATGAGACCCCCCAGAGACTCTGGTCTCTCTGCACATGCCCACTTCCCTTTCAACTTTCCCCATGAGCTGAAGCAGCACGAGACCCTCATCAAATGGGCTGAGCAATCTTGGACTTCCCTGCCTCTGGAATCATGAGCCAAATAAACTTCTTTTAAAAAATAAATTACCCGGTCTCAGCTATTCTGTTATAGCAACACAAAAGTGGATGAAGACAGCTATGTACACAGATTTATCCATAACTCTGAGAAGCAATTTGGCTGGGATTAAAAAAAAATTAATGCATTCCATGTGGTTACATGCCTTCTAACACAAAAAGTGGAACCAAGTTAGAAGACTCTGTTTGATGTTTTTAAGTAGGTGAACTTGCTGATAGTTTTCTGGGTTTAGGGTTTTTCTCAAGGTATTATTGATCACTACTCCACAACAGAAATTGATGATATGAAAACATTTTTGCTTCATAACACATAAGAATTTGTGAAGATCACCAACAGCTACTTTGATCTGCCAGCATATAATAGTTGTTAAAGTGGATCAATGAAACTTCCATTTAGTTCAGTAGCTTAAATAAAAGAAATCTTTTGATCAGAATTACCCTAGAAATGCTATTTCTGGCAAGCCAATTTACATTTCCAGAGTAGGTGCTCATGTTTGGAAGGAGAACCTGCTAATTTCTTGGGTGCTGGTTTTGGTTTGTTCCTGTCCTATGACCTTGGGCAAGTCATTTGATCCAATGTTCAGCTTTTTCATCTGTAAAGTAAGAATAACAACTCCAAAAACAATACCTTCCTGTCTTTTCTATTGCTGGCCTGTGGGATTGTAGGTAATGTCAATGTAATTACTCAGGAAATGATACATACTGTCCGTCCCAGCCATACGGTGGGACAGAGGGCACCATTGGCTGAGAGACCTTACTGGAATTTTACGAGGGATACTATTGTTGTATCACTGTGCTAACCTCCTGAAAGACATGTTGAACTTCCTGATTTTATTCTCTGCTTCTATGTCAATCGCTGAATCATTAGATAACACAATTCAAGTTGGAGATGACAATGAAAATCTTTAAGCCCTGTGTTTTGCCATGCCCATTCAAGGTTTTCCATATCGTCAGTCTTCTCTGACTCATTTGGGAGAGTCGAGCTGTGCTACCTTCACTAAATATTGGAGTTAATTTTGTATCCTCTTGAAAAAGTACTTCGAGCTCCCAGTCATGGTCATCCAGGCATCAGTTTTTGGATGACTTCTCATTCTAAATATGTCCCTCCAATATTTCTGTCCTCTCATTATTCAGTCAAACACTAATCATGGCATTGTTGTGAAAGGACTTTGCAAATGAAATCAAGGTTACTAATCTGCTGACCTTAAAACAAGGGATTATTGTCCATGCCTTGTAACAACAACAACAAAAAAAGTGGAACAAAGTTAGAAGGTTAAATACTCTGCTTGAGTAGTACTCTTTGTTACCTGGGTGGGAATCACATGAGCCCTTGAAAGCAGAAAAGGAAGGCAGATGAGATGAGGCAGAAGAGGAGGTGGAGTAATAGGAAGCCCTCCAGTGCTGGCTTTGAAGGTGAGATGGCCACAGGCCAGGGAGCATCGGCAGCCTCTGGCAGTTGCGAACTCCCCACTGCTGACAGCCAGCCAGGAAATGGAGACCTCAGTCCTGCAACCATACAACTGATTTCTATTTTTTTTTTTCTTTTTTTTTTTCCTACTGCTCTGGACCCCTCATCACACCAAGCAACAGCTTTTGGCTCAAGGAAAGCTGTTTCCCCATCTAGAACACCGGGTGGGAAGTCTAGGGGGTGGGAGCAGAACCAGTTGGTTCTAAGACTAGACTGATCTACAAATAAAAACCTTCCTTGACTGAGCCATTAAATGGTGGTAGCTCTTCAGCCCTCCCAGGAGAAAACCCCAGGCCAGCTACCAGGCCAGCCACTTTCATCTCAAAGATTCACATGGAGGCTCTGTTTCACTGCATGCAGATACCCAAAGCATGGAGACCAAAATGCTGAATTCTGGGCTCAGAGACCAGCTAACCCCAACCCCAAGTTCAGAAACAGTCTGGCTTCCAGTGACATGTGACCACATGGGCAGAACCCCAGGAGGGAATCCTTCTGGGGCATTTCAGGAGCCTCCTCTTCTTCAAGGTCCCAGTGTATCCATTCAATGCAAAAAGGGCCAGGTGTTATCCCCCGGGTCTTTTCTTTTTTTTTAGATTTCTTTCATCAGGGACAATCTCATCCTTGCCTTATCCAGGCGTTCTTTTTTTTTTTTTTTTTTAAGAGAGAAAGAAAGAGAAAGAATAAAAAAAAGAAAAAAAAAAAAAGAATGAAGGAGAGGAAGAATGGGGAAGAGGAAGAGGGAGAGAGAACAGGGGTGTTGCTTTATTACCCAGGCTAGAATGCAGTCTAAAAATAGGTATGCCTGTAATTGTGTTTAATAATAGAGACATGAAAAAAAAAAAAAAAAAAAAAAAAAAACAGAAAACACTGTTTTGGCCGGCGCAGTGGGTTGCTCAGATTTTAGCGCCAGAAATCAACAAGTTGGATGTCCATTCAGAAACCTACCTATAAAGATGGTAATTATAAAGACCACAGATGGATAAATCTATAACGAAGGGAAGAAACCAGCCTAAAAAGGCTGAGAATACCCAAAATCAGAATGCCTTTCCCTCTACAGGGGATCACAGTTCCTCATTAGCAACAGAACAAGGCCTGATGGAGAAAGACTGTGTTCCATTAACAGAAGCAGGCTTTAAAAAGTGGATGATAAGAAACTTCTGGGAATTAAAAGAACTTGTTCTAACCCAATGCAAAGAAACTAAGAACTTCAAAGAAAGGTTTGACGAAATGTTAACAATAATACACAATATAGAGAGGAATATAAGTGAATTAATGGAGCTGAAAAACACAACACGAGAACTTCACGAAGTATGCACAAGTTTTAACAGCCGAATTGATCAAGCAGAAGAAAGGATATCAGAGGTCGAAGATCAATTTAATGAAATAAAACGTGAAGACAAGATTAGAGAAAAAAGGATAAGAGGAACGAGTAAAGTCTCCAAGAAATATGGGACTATGTGAAAAGACCTAATCTACGTTTGATAGGTGTACCTGAATGTGACGAACAGAATCAATCTAAGCTGGAAAATATGCTTCAAGATATTATTCAGGAAAACTTTTCCAACCTAGCAAGGCAGGACAATATTCAACTCCATGTAATACAGAGAACACCACGAAGATATTCCTCAAGAAGACCAACCTCAAGGCACATAATTGCCAGATTCACCAGGGTTGAAATGAAAGAGAAAATACTGAGGGCAGCCAGCGAGAAAGGTCAGGTTACCCATAAAGGGAAGCCTATCAGACTCACAGCAGATCTCTCAGCAGAAACCCTACAAGCCAGAAGAGAGTGGGGGCCAATATTCAACATCCTTAAAGAAAAGAACTTTCAACCCAGAATTTTATATCCAGCCAAACTAAGCTTCATAAGCAAAGGAAAAATAAAATCTTTGTGAACAAGCAAGCACTCAGAGATTTCATCACCACCAGGCCTGCTTTACAAGAGCTTCCAAAAGAACCACTACAAATAGAAAATACCACAAAATAAAGAACATCAACATAATTAAGAACTTGTATCAACTAATGGGCAAAACAGCCAGCTAACATTAAATGGCAATATCAAACTCACATATATTATTATTAATTCTAAATTTAAATCGACTAAATCCCCTAATCCAAAGTCACAGACAGGCAAATAAAGCCAAGACCCATTGGTATGCTACATCCAGACCCATTTAATATGCAAGGATACACAAAGTCTCAAAACAAAGGGATGGAGAAAAATTTACCAACCAAATGGAGAGCAAAAATAATAAATAGAAAGCAGGAGTTGCAATTTTTGCTGACAAAATAGACTTTAAAGCAACAAAGATCAAAAGAAGCAAAGAAGGATATTACATAATGATAAAAGGATCAATGTAACAAGAAGAGCTAAAGATCCTAAATATATATGCACCCAATACAGGAATACCCAGATATATAAGACTTATAAAGAGACTTAGACTCCCACACAATAATAGTGGGAGACTTCAACATCAATATCAGATAGATCAATGAGAGAGAAAGTTAACATCGATATCCAGGACTTGAACTCAGATCCGGAACAATTAGACTTAATTAACATTTATAGAACTGTCCACTTTAAATATACAAAATATACACTCTTATCAGTACCACATCACACCTATTTACAGGTTTAAATGAAATATTGGTTGGCTGCTTGTTAGTTATTTTCTTCCCTCATTTTTCTTTTTTTTCATAGAACTGATATCTATCAACACCTGGGATAAGCCTAGAAGTGGATTCTTCCTCAGAATCTCTACAAGCAACACAGGGCAACTGACACTTTAATCCAGCCTTACTAGATTCTAATCATATTACAAAGCTGAGTCTGCTGGATTTCTGATCTGCAGAACTGTGAGATAATATGTGGGTGTTGTCCTAAGCAGCTAAATTTGCAACAATAGAAAACCAATACTCTCCATCCATCCACCCATTCAGCAAACATTCACCAATCTCAGGAACTGCTAAGAACAATTGCTGGTGATAAAGCAGAAAAAAAAAAAAAAAAAGACAAAAATCCCTGCCTTCATGGAATTTACATTCTAGTAACAATACCTACATTAAAACAAACAAATAAATAAATAAACCCTAGCTTCCAGCTCATTGCTGTTTGATCTCACAGGCCTATTAGATTAGAACAAGATTGGATCTATCAGGCAGCCTGATGATGGGAAATGCACCAGGTGATGTGTCGTCCTGCCCGATCACATGTCATACACATTTGGTGGACTCCCAAATCCAGTCGGTTGGTAGCTTCAGGACAAATGGTCTCTAATGTGCTTTGGTTGGGTTTATAAGCACCACATACATATCATCATGTAGTCCTTAGCAAAAATTTGGCAAAAATTGT